TAATCCTTACACTATGATTGGGACCCATTGCTTTTGAGTCTTCTGGTCAAACTTTTGGATGCGGATTCTTGCGAAGCTTGGGAACTCCTTTTAATCCCTATGACTTCCTATCCAACATTCGCTCAGTTCGAAGAATTTCTTAACGGCTGATCGAGAGCTATGGAGAATTTGTCGTTACAAACTTCTGCAATTTCCAAGAAGGAGCACAGCAAGCGGAATAAAAATACTTACCATTCTAATTTAGCAGCTCATACGTCTACTACTTCGTCTAGTAAGGAGGATCTAGTAAGGAGTCATCGTGCCCCCTGTGTAAGGCTACTCATTACCTCGGCAGTTGTCCAACTTTTCAGGCGAAATCGGTCCGTCAGCGTCGAGATATTGTCGTTTCAAAACGGCGATGTTTTAATTGTTTAGGATTGCACGCATTTCGACAGTGCCAAAGTACCAGACGTTGTCAGAAATGTGGGAAACGTCATCACACCGCTCTCCATGATGCCTCAGCGAACACCACGAGCGATATTGTTGCGCCTTTAACGGTAGAGTCCAAACCAGTCTGTAAAGATGCGCCTGCTTCTGCCTCAGCATGACTACCTGTGCACATCACCAGGGGTTCTCTTCGTTACCACGAAGACAAATCTTTCTTGCCACGAGTCGTGCAGTTATACAACACGAAAATAGAGCCACTTATCCTGTGCGTTTACTTATTGACCAAGGGTCAGAGCTTTCTTTTGTTTCTGAGGAGGTAGTGGATCGTTTGAAACTACCAAGAAGAGCTGCAGCTATACCACTCGTGGGGATAGGAGGTTCTCATTTTGGAAAGACCCGTGGTCTCGTAACTCTTCGTCTTCGTTCTTTACATGATAAGTTGTCTTCGTGTACGTTTAACACATTCGTTTTATCTCGCCTCTTAGTTAAGTTGCCTTCTTTTCCAGTGAGTTCTCGTTCATGGCCTCATATTAAAAATCTGCCTCTCGCAGATCCAGAATTCTATCGTTGTGGTCCTGTGGATATCATTATCGGTTCAGATAATTACGGTTCCATAATTTTGAAGGGTTTGATCAAGGCAAATCAACACGAGCCTATAGCCCAGAAAACCATTTTTGGTTGGATCCTTTCCGGTCCGTCTGGTTCTTTAAACGATAATTCTAGCGAAGCCATCGATTTTCATTGTTCCACCGACCAAGATTTGCACAATTTGCTAGCTAGATTTTGGACACAGGAGGATTTACCTTCTTCTATCAGTGCGTCACTAAGCCCAGACGAAGTGGATTGTGAAAATCATTTTTTATCTACGCACACACGTAACCCGTCAGGTCGCTTTATTGTTCGGCTTCCTTTGAAATCACCTTCTAGTTTACTGGGAGATTCGAGGGAGACCGCCCTCCGCTGTCTATGGAGAATCACGAAGCGTCTTTCATCTGATTTACCATATAAACGCCTGTACGAAAATTTTATTCAAGAATATCGAGCGCTTGGTCACATGGTAGAAGCAACTCTTCCTGATAATTTTGCCAATATTTATTATTTGCCACATCATGGGATTCTCAAACAAGAAGGGGATAATTCGAAGATCCGAGTCGTCTTTAATGGCTCTAGTCGCACGAGTAGTGGAGTTTCTCTCAACGAGATTCTGCACTCAGGCGCGAAGCTTCAGACGGATATTGCTGACATTCTATTGTGGCTCCGCATACACCGATATCTTTTTTCTGCCGATATAGAGAAAATGTTTCGACAGATAGCGGTCCATCCGGAAGACTGGAATTATCAGAGAATTATTTGGTTCGGACCGGATCAACAACCTGTTGACTTCTGCTTGACCACGGTTACGTACGGACTATCGTGTGCACCCTTTCTCGCTTTACGTTGCTTACAACAACTCGTCCACGATGATGGTCCGAAATTTCCAAAGGCGATACTTCCTATGACTAAAGGTCGTTATGTAGATGATATATTCGGTGGGGCAGACACTATTGATGAAGCAAAGGAGATTGCTCATCAAGTCAACGAGCTGTGTAAATTGGGGGAGTTTTCTCTTCGAAAATGGAGTGGAAATCGACCAGAGTTGTTACCTTGTACTCTAACGTCCGACTCTAATAATTCTCCTGTGGTTGATATCAATTTGTCACCGGTCAAGGTCTTGGGTCTCGTGTGGAAGCTGGAATCAGATATTTTCATTTTCTATGGGCAGCCTTTACATACGGACAAATTATCGAAGAGGATTATTTTATCAGACCTTTCCAAAGTATACGATCCTCTGGGTCTCGTGGCACTGATAATAATTAGAGGGAAAATTATCATGCAGGAACTCTGGTTGCTGAAATCCGGTTGAGATGACGCGCTTCCTTCGGATATACAACAGCGATGGTTCAGTTTTCGGCGAGATTTAACGGACTTGAACAGCTGACGATACCGAGATGGCTTGGACTAGAGTCCCTGTAGTAAGAGTCTGGCAAGGGTTGACGCAAAATGGCGTCTGGTCTGTTCGTTATCGCTGCATTACTGCACTAGTGCAGTTAGTTAATTGCACTAGTGCAGTAATGCAGCGATAACGAACAGATCAAAGGTAACCAAATAATAATAATAATAATAATCCCGCGTTCAGAGTACAGATTCGAGACACCTTATTGGTTCCGCCATTTTGCGTCAAACCAATCAAACGGAGAATATTTCTTGCCAGACTCTTACTACAGGGACTCTAGCTTGGACCAATTCAGTCAAGTTCATTGGTAGAAATCCACGGATTCTCAGACGCCTCCAATCTAGCGATGGCCGCAGCGGTGTTTATTCGAATAAATACTGCGGGCAATGAATATCTTGTACGTTTAATATGTGCAAAGACAAAAGTGGCACCTCTCAAGCGAATTACAATCCCACGGTTGGAGTTGAGCGCAGCTTTGTTGTTGGCTCGTCTCGTTGTTCATGTACAAAATACTCTTGATTTGTTAGAAGCTCCGTTATTTTTATGGACTGACTCTTCCGTAGCACTCACTTGGCTCACTACCCACCCATCTAGATGGAAAGATTTCGTTAGAAACCGAGTCTACGCAATTCAAGAGCTTTTGCCAAACAGCTCGTGGCATTTTATTTCCGGTAAAGAAAACCCGGCAGATTGTGCATCTCGTGGACTGCGCCCAAGTCAACTAGCCACTCATAATCTTTGGTGGAATGGACCCGAATGGCTGCGTGGCCCAACCACTACATGGCCTACTGCTGCTGCTTTCTCTTCTCCGGATGCCGATAACGAAATGCGTCCAAATCAGGCCACTATTGCCGTAGTACAACCGGCTTCGTATTGGGATCTTCTCGATAAACATTCCTCTCTAATCAAACTTTTAAGAATCACTGCTCTTTGTCGTAGGTTTATTTCACGATTAAAGCAAACAGCAAACGTATCGATAGCTGCACCATTAACTCCTGAAGAAATCTGCCAAGCTCGTTTATTTTGGTCTAAGGTTGTTCAGCAATCATGGTTCCTAAACGAAATCCGAATTCTTACACAGGGAGAAGTTTTGCCTCGTTCGAATGCGTTGGTGCGGCTCATCCCCTTTATTGACCGAGAAGGCATATTGAGAGTCGGTGGGCGTCTCCATCATGCTAAGATTGACGTAGAATCCAAACATCCCATAATTCTACCACGACGGTCTCCTCTAACTTCTCTTGTAATCAAGGATGCTCATTCTCGCACTCTTCACGGAGGCACCAAAGAACATATACTATGAGAAGTGCAAGCCCCATGTTAAATGTTGGAAACATATACGATCGACACGACACCTAGTGGCCTGGCCTTAGTACTACGTGATTCTATCTATATATATAAGTATATCCACGTATATGTATACAGGGTGTTTGATTTGATATGGACGACCCCAAAGATTATAGTAGATTGGGTT